AACATAGTAACTCCTCTCTCCTTAGTAATATAATCATACATTTTGGTTAAGTGTATTTGTCACTCAATAAGTATGCTATTTCTTAGACTCCTTATAGTGTTCCTTTAGCTTTGTTAGTATATTTTAGTCAGTAAAATGAAACAATCTTTCGAGTCCATCATTGCAGCACAGAGTATTAATTCAATGCCTGCAATGCTGACATCCCACATTAATGCTAGTTCTAGGCTTAGCTACCCACTTTCCATCAAGGTCCCTGATAATGCATCTGAGAAAGCAGCAGCAGTTGATCCAAGTGCTTGGGTCCCGGTACTCTGTGCAGGAGAACTGAGTGGAGTTCCAGGCTTCTCTCTCTGACTCTCATTCTGCATTTCAAATAAATGAATCTTTAGTGGAGCTGTAATCTTCTTGTGCTTTATTTGTTCAGTATTATGATAAACAGTGAATTAAGCCTGTGGATACAGAATGGATTAAAATTGTGTCTTCACAAAACAACTAATGAAAGGAAGAAAGGAGAGGAAAGGAGGGAGATTGGCAGGGAGCAGGGGAGTGAGGGAAGTGTGGTTGTTTTCTTGCAACTGTATCTATGAAACGCATAAGATCTATTCTCTTTGTTTTAATAAACATACTAATAAAAGAAAAAATTTTTAAAAATCATACATGATGCTTTAATAAATATTCCCTGGAAAGAAGAAACATGTTCTTCCTTTGCTTGTCCACAAGTTAGTCAGCAAGAGCAGTTCAGCAACTGTCTTAGACCAATAGGTAGATGATACATGCTGAGGACAGCAAAGCAACCGAGTGTAATGAATCTGGTCCATTGATTACAAACTCCACCATCCCCACATCCTAGATTGTCTCCCTCCTAATCACCTACTGTTGTGGACTTTAAAGTGATTGATATTTTGAATCTCTGCCGCAACTGAATCTAAACCTATATCTAAAGGATTCCATAAAAAATGTCATTGGTAATTTCATAGGGATGGCATTGCATCTATAGATTGCTTTAAGCAGTATAATTTTCATTATGTTAATTCTTCCAATCCATGAGCAAAAGGAATATTAGAATAAGTTTTCCTAGAGACTGTGACTGGGGTGTGTCAGAAAGCATCCAACAAGATAAGCTAGGGGGTGACAGATGCAAGCTTGGGAACCTGTTGAGAAAAGGCTCCAGGAAGAAGAGGCAAAAGTTTCTGCAGAGAGGTACGAGACACTCAATAGGCAACACTACACTGAAGGAGCAGAACAAACTTACAGGACTGATTTAACCCAATTTCAAACATAACATAAAACTATATTGTGTCTATACACCTACACATGAATGTTTATAGCAGTTTTATCATAACTGCTGAAACTTGGAAGCAACAAAGATGTTCCTCAGTAGCGGAGCAGATAAGTACACTTTTGTGCTCCCAGATAGTGGAATATCATGCTAGACTAAAAATATGAGCAATAAATCCATGTAAATGTGGGAGCTAAATTATTTTAAAATCAAAAAACAACAACAACAAAAGAAAAACCAAACAAACCCCCAAACACCTGTGTATATCAGTATTGGTGCAAAGACAGTTTTGCCAGACATCGTTTTATATGTTTGTCAAACAAATTATTAAGAATGATTTGCTAATATAATCTTAATAATCTGCAATTATGTCAAAATATACCGTGTATGTACAAAATTGATTTCATTTGGTTCTATTTATATCCTTTATCTATTACTTTCCATTTGTTGAACTCTTTTTAGTGGCGTATTACGCCTTTGTCAGGCAAATACCATGCAAATTAAGTGTTATATAAAAAAATTTTAAATATAGAAAAACAAAGACAAATACATTAACAACAAAAGAAATGAACCCTTCATATATACACAATTCTTTCATAAGAAGGGTACACAATCATCCAGTGAGAAAAAGGCAATCTTTTTCCGCAAGTGGCCTTGGGAAAACTGGGCATTCACACGCAAAGCAATTAATTTCCACCTTTATTTTCCACTGTATACATACATTAACTGAAAATGGATCAACATCTCAACTTCAGTGGGAAAATGCTAAATTTCCTGGAAGAAGACATAGAAAATATTTTTAACATTGGATTTATTGCTTAGGCACCAAAAGTACAGACAACAAGAAAAAAAAAGGGATAAATTAGACTTCACCAAAACTATTTTTTCTCCAGTAAAGGGCACTATCACACTCTGGGCTTGCTTCCCACACTTCCTGTCACCAGGCTCTAATCTCGTGGTGGCCAAGGATGGGCCAAAAGCAGGACTCTCCCACCACTCCAAGCCCTTCCCAGTTTGTTTCTGGGCCAGGGCTAGGAAGTAGGAGTCCTGTTGAGATTACAGGCAATGGGCTGACCCCGTGCACACATGACAGCCTTCTGTCTCAGAGTTGGGATTCCTGAAGAAGCCTCTTTCATCCCCTTGCTGGTCCTTCACCAGCATCTGATGTCTCTGACCCTGGAGGTGTAAAACTGTGTAATTAAATACATGTAGTCAAATTAGTCAGCATTTCCTTCCCGCTCACAGCCCAGTCAGTACTGGGGCTGGGGACACCCTGCAGCAGACTGCCTAAAGGCTAGGTTTCCACTGTGATGCAGTGAAATAAGTCCCTACCAGGGTGTGCTTTCATTCCTGGGTGATCCTGGGTCCCAAGTCTGGAGTGTGGACAGTGTGGGTACAGCCTGGGCACAGAACCTTGAAAATCTCTCCCACATGGTATAGCTATTCTACTTGTGGGTATATACCCCCAAAATTGCAAAGAGAATCTCAGAGATCTTTTGTAATATATATAGTTATAGTTATAACATATATAGCAAAAACAGAGAAGCAACTCTATCCATTGATGAGCAAATAGATAGGCAAAGCATAATATATGCCCACAATGAAACATCATTCACCCTTAAAATGAAAGTAAATTATGACACATATTACAACATGTAGGAACTCTGCATATATTATGCTAAGTAAAATACACCATTCAGAACAGAGCAAATATTGTAACATTCAATTTAGGTAGTCAAATGAATGGATCCAGAATTTTTGAAGTTGTGGAGATGGGGGAGGAAAATTAGTATTTAGAGACTATCGAGCTTCAGTTAAGGAAGATGAAAAAGAGATGAATGCTGATGATGGTTCTAGCAGCGTGCGAATGTTCCTATTGCTATAAAATGGTATGCTCAAAATGACTAAAATGTTAAAATCTATGCTTGAATACTTTATCACAGTAAAAAGATAAAATGAAAAATACTAAGGCTCAGCAGTAGTGCTCTAATATGGTTGACAAGAATGTATTCATATCTCTGAACTCTTTCTTTAGATAATAGTAGAATCCAAATTCAAAATGTTTTGTTAAAGACAAGGTTACTGGGCTTCATTCAATTTTATTTAATAAAATGAGAAATTAAAATGTCAAGATAACTATAATAACATACTAATGTAAGTATTATTATCCATCTATTAAATGTTGAATCCATCACGTCTCTATTCTAACTCCTCTTCCATTTGTACTCCCTAAACTGACATAAGAGACGTTCTTCTATATCAATTATCACTATATGAAGATGACAAATAATATTATAACTTCAATTATTTCCCTAAGATATATTTCACATTTCATAGTCACCTCAAACTCAACACATCCAAGAGTGACTTCATGATCAGCAACACCATATTTGGTTATTTCCCATCCATGAAATAAGCCGTAAAGCCATAAAAGCAGGAACTTCAATTTCCTTTATGCTCACGTACTTTATTATGGTCTCCCATGCCACACTGTACATATTGCCGTCATTAGTCTTTACATGTTTACATTCATTTTTGTGTTGATTAATGTCTTTCTCATACATTAAAATGCACATTCTATGTGGACAGAATGTTTACCTTTGCTCAAAATCATGCTCCCAAAATGCAACACAGTGACCAGTGCATATATAGTTTATAAAACTCTTGTTGAATGAATAACACGTAAAGCTTTGAATTTAAAAATGGAAAACAGTGAGATACGAAAATATGAAAAATGTAATTCTTCTTGTCTATGTGAAGATGAGAATTGCTGCCAAAATATTGGGCTGCAATTTGACATTCACCTTAGCTCTGGCTATTGTGGTTAGTTCTGGTCTATCATTTTCTACTTTAAACTGGATTTTCTGACTACTCCTTATCCAGTGAAATAAGTACCTAGAGCAACCTATCTAGTTCAGTAATTCCTGCATCTGTTACCTCTTGTTAATACTATCCCAACAATGAGTACCCGGGTCCATTTCATAGGCGGAAAATGGTTAAATACTCAACGCTCACAAATGAGGTCGGGTCATCACGAGGAGGCGGATAGGATAAGGAAATGGGACAGTTCATCTCAAACAAGGTTCAAGTGCTGAACATCCTAGTCCGACTCTTGGTCACAAGTCTCAAATGAGTTTAACACTACAATCTCTAGATTTGTGAAACACACAATATTAAAAACATTCTAACACAAATTTGCTGGAATGATTCTATGGGAAATGCCCCTGGATGGACATTTTTAACTGTGAAGTGTTACAAGCATCTACAGTTATACCAATCCAATTGAGATTGGAGTAAATACTAAAATATCAAAGGGAGTGTGCAGGCGGCACAGCTTCTGGCAAAACCTTAATATTTTATCAGGAAAAATGTTTCACAGTGCAGCTCTATTTTGGTTTTGAACTGTGTAATGAAGTGGTTACAAGCATCAGGTTGGTTAGCTGATTGGTTTACTTGCTTTTTGGTTTTTAAATTTTATTTAATGAAGGAGCAGCAAATTTGAATCTTATATTTGACTAGTTCAATGTGCAGACTGTCCTTCCACCCTATTTAAGCTTTTTGAAAATCCGAAGCTCTGCTCTCGCCTCTCTAGCGACGTTATATAGTAACCAAGTGAGCGGTTGTTAAGTGGGCTGCCTTCTACGTCATCAGATTGTGGCGTGCAACCTCGCATGCGCAACCAATTGTGAGCGCGTGCGTTTTCTGGTGTATGTAGCTTGAGCACCGCAGACAGTCCCAGTAGGACCAAGCAGTGAGATAAGCCTATCGCCTTGGGTGGCAGGATCTCAAATCGGTCGCTTAGCGGCCCCCTGACTCCCTAACACCAGCTGGAGGAGTATTCACCATGATTTTTGTCTTAATGACCTGCGCTTTGTTCGTTCTTCTGGTTCTCTTCTGGAAAAAACGGTTGAAGGCAAAGGTAAGAGATTGGAATTAGGTGAAGGTTGATAAGTACAGGATGGGGTTTGAAGGAAAGCAGAAAGGTAGTAAAATAAGTGGTAAGAGATGATCTTTCCCATCAGAAGAGCACCAGTCTTCTCTGCCTCACCCGCTCTCTATCCAAGTTCCCACATTTTGAAGCATAGTCGGATTTAACAAATCGGTAAGCAGTAGGGTCAGCTTTTACAGCACAAAGCACCCATTGGCCACTCTGCTCCCCCATTTCAGCTATCTGTACCTTCTCTCTCGCCTACCTTTTCTGCTTCCTCCCCATAGCTCCCTGCTCTCCTTATGGGAGCCTTGTAGCCATTTACAAATCATTGAGGTCTGAATAAGGTCTCCTGGGCTAAAAGTTGGAAATAAATGCTTTCTGTTTGTTTGTTTTTTAGTTTAGAACTCAAGAGTTATTGTAGGCCTGTCGAAGTACCCAACACAGATAAGCAAAGGGTATTGCACTTTGATGTTATAAAGTTTCACTCACAAATATTTTTCTTCTCAGGCCATCTCTGGGGAGGATGTGTCTCCCAACTGTGAATTCATGTAAATGTTTTTAATCTCTAGTTTAAAGGACAAATCCATCCTGGTAACCAATATTAACCAAGTTATTGATGAATTTTGGAAATTGCTAAACTCAATGAACTACACATGCACAATTTCTTTCCTTTACAGAAAAATACTGGTCACAGATCATCAAATCTGGCTTCTCTTGCACTAGCAGCAACTGCTACTGGGTCGGCTAAACGCAATATCAATAAGGGTCTTTCAGTCAACAGGCTCTCTCAGGATATCTTAAACAACTTCCCTCACTCCGTAGCCATGCAAAAGCGAATACTGATAAACCTCAGGATTGTGGAATACAAGCTGGCTGAACTGGAACATTTCCTACTTACTCAGGGTATTAGTGATGCAGTACCTAAGCGACAATCCCCTAAAAAGCATGCAAGATGGAGTGACAGTGAAGGCAGTTAATAAAGGCGCTTTGCTTGACTTCAATTGATCATGTGGTTGTACTGAATGAATCACTGGGGGAGAGGGGTGAGCACACCAAGTTAGACGCAAAACACAAATATCAATTGAGTTGTTTAATCATGTTCGATTTATTTGGAGACTTGGTGACCTGTTGTTAATATAGATTTTACTATGAAAGGAATGAAAGCACAATGGAGATGGGAAAACAACTCAAAGGCCTGAATTGTTTGTATTTTTTGAATACAATAAAAATGCTGTCAAAAAGGACATAATTGATCTTAATCATATTGTAGTATGAAGTGTTCTCTAATGGTCTGTAATACTGTGACTGTGTCCAAGAGTGCATTAAATGGGACTTGATGGAACCCTTACCAGTGGGTATCATACAGTTTTGTCCATTGTTGAATCTGTGTAATGAAGTCCATCATGAGAAGTCTGGTAAGGTCTGTGTTTTACATCTTTGCGAAAACAGTGACACAAACCCTTAATTACTCCTTGTGGTCAGTTTTCAAAGGTATCTCTTCCTCTTTGCACCTCTTCTACCCCAATTAAGTTTCTTTTCATTTCCAATGTGTCCAGCTCTTCCCAGAGTTGCAAAAACCACCCATAGAAAACTGCATGCATTTTCCTATTGGATGAACAATAATATCTCAAATGCAATGGTTGGATGCATGCAATATTATGTGGATTTAAATCATAACATTTCTTAGATCAATTGAGCATCTATTTCAAATTATTTTATAAAATCTGGTCTACCAAAAGAAGTTTTACGTAACATTCACTAACAATATTTGATCTACCATCATGACCTTGATATCATTGAAATGGAATGGTTCCCACCCCCAAAAATAAATTACCAGTATAAATCAAAGTTGTGTGTTAATCCTTTAATCCTTTCATCTCCAGTCAAAAGTAAGGAGACAAGGAATGTATAAGAAAAACATATTGCTTCTAGTTACACTCACTTGCAAAGCCCAAAAAGCCAGCACTATATATTGTCTAATTTGGGGAATGATAGGGCTATTTGAGATTCAGTGAAACTCACGAATCTTCTTCCTAGGAAAAACCACATGTACACATACACAAAAAAGGTATATATAATTTTGATTTCATCTGTTCCCTGAAGCCTAGGGTAAGAAACATAGGGATTGTTGAAAAGTTTGTTATATATTTAGGCATGGTTTGCCTTCTTTGGGGAGGGGAAATGTTTAAAACAACTCTCAAGAAGAACCCACTGGGCTGCACCACTCAACCAGTGGAAAGGGCACTGGTTGGAACCACATGGCAGGGACAGACACCTTGACTTGGAACCCAATGGGCCACACCACATGGGGTTAAATGCTGCAGATTGCCTTGGGGAAGAGAATCAGGGGACACACCAGAATGGGGGCCACTGGGGGGCTTGTTTGACAGGTATGGAATGATATCTTGGTGCTTCCATGGACCAGCCAGTAAAGTTGCAGGTGATCAAGGGAACTGAGATGAGTTGGTTTAGAAAATGGAATCCAGAGAGCATGTCTGAGTCAGCCTAAAGCACCCACACATGCACAAAAGCTGGGCTAGGCTAGCTCACAGTGCGCACTGGCACACACAAAAGTTAGGACTGGGTAGCAGGTCAGGCAGGGGTAGGCCAACAGCACACACTGGTAAGTGTCAGGGGATGGGATGGTCCACATCAGGCTAGAATACAACATCCACCAGTTTGTTGGAGAACCAGCACCATCCCTGCTGGACTGCAGTGCCTGCCAGTGTGTACAACAGCTGGGGCTTGTTGTGGACTGGGCCATGCAAGGCCACAAAACTCACTGACACTCGCAAGAGCCAGGCCTGGGAGCAGGCCAGACTGATTCAAGCTGCAGTACCCTCAGGCACTCACAAAATCTGAGGCTGTAAGTGGGTCCAGCAGGGAGACTCTAGGTATTGCCCTACTATACTGCAGCTCCCACTTGTGAGTGCAAACAAGGACTGGAAGCATTCCAGTCCCCACAAGGTTGCGGAACCCATCAGCATGCTTTTGGGCCAAACTGGGAATGGGCTGGGCTGGGATGGGTCACAGCACCTGCTGGTATGTACAAGCCAGAACAGGGTGTAAACCAGGCTATGCTGCAACATCTGCCAACACACACACACACACACACACACAAAACAGGGATGGGAGAAGGGCCTAGTGGAGGTTAATGGGGGTCATCTTGACTAGGCCACATAACCCATGGGTACACATGAGAGACAGCCGTAGGGGTGAGCTGGACTAGACAAAACTGTGGCATCTACCAGTTCACATGAGAGTTGATGCTGGGTGCACGACTAACCAGGCAGCTGCATCTACTGGTATGTGCATTAGTAAGTGCAGGAACGTAGACCAAACCTGAACTTGCACTAGTTGGTGCACTCAAGAGTCAGGTCTGAGGATGTCCCAGATGAGGTTTCTTGGAGGACTGGAGAGATAGACCACTTAGCTCAACATTGCCTCAGATAAAATCTAACCTTGGAGTACATGTATCAGGAAAGGGTCTCCTCAGTTACTGACACACAAACAACAGAGAACATGCCTAGATAAACATGAAAGAAATGACAACAAGCTCATCTAAGCCAGCAGAGGATTTTAAGTAACTTGCCAAAAGAAGGAAAGCATAGTAGGTCAAACAACTATCCTTACCAGAGTTTGCAGCAAGTGTCTATGTCTGTGGATACACTGAAGTAGACCATGTCAGCCAAAAGAACATACATATTCTCAAACCTATTGCAGGAAACAACAAAATCTCAAAACCATTAAAAACCAGAAAAGTAACACCCTTGGAACATTCTTCCCTACAATGGGGTCACTAAGGCAAAATCAGGTGACCATCTACATTGCCTGGTGTTGATGTAGTTTGATAGCAGCGAATGGGCAGCAACAATCCTTGACTGCAGACACAAAAGAAATAAAAAAATTATCTCATGCACATTCCTCCACAACTCATCACCACCCTAAATGGAGGTCCACATGGGTATGCATTCCTCTCAAATAGATAATCAATATAAAAATAAAATCAGACATGGTCACAATAACAGTTTACAGCATTTACTAAGAATAGCAGGGTTTCCCTTTCATACACCATTAGGGTAAATAATCAAACTGTCTGATATTTTAAGTTTAGTCTTTGCACCAGTAATGCAGGGCTGGAGTGATCAAAAAGATCTCTAGCATAACACAGATTATATTGATCCAAACTGGAAGATAGAGGGATCTCAAACACATGGGAAGACACTTTCATAAGCTAGCAAGCAAGAAAATGGGAACCGCTTTTTTGGGTTGCTCCAAATAGACCAAGAAGGAAAGATGGGGCTGAGGGTAGGCCAGGCAAGGTTGGGACATAGCACCTGCCAGCAAGTGTTGGATCTGGTGGCAGGTGACATCCAAAACAGAAAAGCACCCACCAGCACACATGAGAACCAGGGTTGGGGCCGAGTCAGGTAAGCATTCTGCAGAGTTGTCCTAACTAGACCAAAACATCCACCAGTGAACGCAAGATCTGGACCTGGGGTGGGCTTAACTGGGTGGGCTAGGCCACTGCTCCTGCTGGTTGCTGTGAGAGCCAGGGCTAGTGGTGGGACCAGCCAGGCAGTTGTAGCCACTGGCTAGAGTTGTGCCTTGGCTGGTACAGGGGGCAGGCTGAACCTGAACCTCTATAGACTGGCACCCACAAGAGGAAAGTCTGAGGGCCTCCTACAGGATATTTCTAAGGGGTTCATGACTTGACCATTGTACTTGGTCCCTGACTTCAGGGAAAATCACACAGACATGTGGTCCAATTCCAGAACACATGTTGCAGGACTGGGCCACCTTAAATGATGATCATCGCCAAAGAGGAGAAGCATGTCCAGATGAATATGCAAAGACAACCAGCTTATTTAAGCTAACAGAGGACTTTGAGTGCCTCCTCAAAGGATGAAAAGAAGACAAGTTGAACAACCCTCCAGGTCAGGCTCCACAACTAGCACCTAGATCTGTGTGCATACTGAGCGAGAAAAGAGCAGCAAACAGACCTTACAATTTTTCACCTCTAGTGCAATAAAGCCAAAAGCTTCTGAAAACAATCAAGACCACTCAAGTAACACCCTCAGAGTATGCATTTTCCACATCAAGGCCTCAAAGGTGACATCAAATGACCATCCCTGACACTTGATGACAGCAAGGAATAGCACATTTACTCCTCCCTTCTCCCTCTCCACACCCTCCACCAACTCTCACACACACCCCCCACAGATACATAAGGGAAAACTGAAAAATTTGTCTCACCCACCTGTCATTGCCAACCTTCTCCATCATAATCAGAGCCCACATGGGCAATAAATACTGAAATAAAATTTTTGTACTTGATCTTAGCCAAAAGGCCAAGAAGCGTGGGAAATCCAAGCACCTATAAAACTGTATCACATAATACAATGTTAACAATAATAAAAAAAAATTTAATTAAAAAAAATAAAATAAAACAAAAACAAAAATAAAAAAGTTAAAAAAAATTTTCAAAAACAGAAAGTGTGAACCCCTTGAGTCAGAAGGACCATGACTTGAAATCATAGCCCTGCAGGTGGTCTGGTTATTGGTAACATTATCAGCTTCAAAAAAAAAAAAAAAAAAACGAGCTTAAGAGAACTTCTTGCTGGTGCTTTCTTCAAAGGATAGCAATGGATGGAATTATAAGTAATAAGCAATAAACAAGGATTGTGGTGGACCCAGCATGCTGACTCAATTGGCTAATCCTCCCCTTGCAAGCACCCATGGGGATGCCAGTTTGTGTCTTGGCTGCTCCATTTTCTATGCAGCTTCCTGCTTATGACCTGGAAAAATAAAGGAATGAAGGATGGTCCAAAGCTTTTGAACCCTTAACTACATGGGAGACCTAGAGGAGGTTCCTGGCTTCTGGCTTCAGATCAGTTCAACTCAATCCATTGTGCACCAGCAGATGGAAGATTTTTCTCTAACTCCTTCTCTCTGCAAAACCAATAAAAATAAATCT